AAAATATTCCCTAAATTATTCCTTCCCTTTATTTATGGAAGTTTGAATGAAAGGAAAAAAAAGAAATAAGAAAAATCACCTGAAAAAAAACTTAAAAAATTTTTTTATAAAAAAATTTACTTTTTTTCTATTTTTTTCCTATTTCTAAAATTCCTTTTTTTTTTCTTTCTTGATTCCCCAAATTTCTTTTTTTTTAAAGAATTTCCTTTTTTCACCTTCATCCCAAAAATTTATTAATTGTCTTTCCCCTTAGAAAATAAAATATAATTTTTAAAACATTGTTTTCTTTCAAATAAACATTTCTCCTTTTAAAAGTAACTTTCCTATTCTAAAAAAGTTTCTCTTTTTTTTTCTTGTTTCAGCGAGGTTCCACACTGCTTCCCACCTTCCACACGAGCCCTGCTTCCATGTCGAACCTTTTCAAACCAGTTGAACCTTGCTAAAGATGTCTGTCTCCTGAACCGCTGCCATAACTCCTCCTTAAGCCGTGTCTTTGTCTGTTCGCCAAATTTTCCGCTGTCAACAACTTTGAATCCGCCGACAAAGCATGTCCGACATGCCACCTGCTATAAAAAATATCAGCAACACTTACCGGATTTGTATCGGGGTTGAATCATGCTCGGATCACGAACTCAAATATTTGATACTAATTGGCATGATAAAACAATGCATAAACGAAGAAATTCATTCAACAATAATTAAACACAAAAGATTTACGTGATTTGGCGTTAAGTTGATTCACTTATGCCCACGGGGAGAGAGATTCCACTAGCAGAGAATAGGGAGAAAAAATTGCTAGGGGTTATAACTTTTTCACTTATTATCATTATTCTCTCATGAATCCTAAGTCCCTTTTATAGAGAAGGATTGGTCATACAAGTAAATAAAGTCAAAAGACCAACTTACCCCTAATCACAGTAAAAGCCATAAATACAACATACAATATTGTGAAGATGATTATGTGAATCTATCATTAAAAAAAGGGTATGGATCCTAGGCATCAATAAGTGTTGCTCAAGCACCACCTTTATAGCATAGAGATGGCATCGCGATGCTAGATTGAAAACAATAAGATATTTTCACTTGATTTACTCAATAACACGAAGGGTAAAGAGAGAAAACCCAACATGTCTCTCAAACACAAAACATATCATAGTCTTCTATCAACAGTTTAAAGGCTCTAAAAGAAGGAAAACATGGAAGAGAAGCTAGGGAAATCTCACTTGTGCGACCTTCAAGAATGTCCTAAAGCTTTTCCTTGCTTCATTGCACCTCCAAGAGCCAGCAACACTCAAGGCCGTGCTTTTCCAAAGAAGGGAAAAAAGCTAAAGATTGGAGAGGATGTGGAGGAATGCGCTCTAAGTTTACCACACAACACAGAGTTGATGTCACTCTCTATTCTTTCATGCTCCCCTTTACTCGAAGATTAATGGATTTTTCTCAAAGCTCCTCACCAAAGTTCTTATTTAAACTTTCTAGGAGAATGGATAAAGGAGAAAGGAATCCCTTTACCATAGCCCTCATTCTCCCCAATTAAAAAGAAGGAAGCTAGAAGGAAGGAAATGGCAAGATGTCCCCCCCTGTAGGGAGACTCATCTCCTCATTTAAGAAGGAAGAAACTTTCACTCTTTTCTCTTCCCAAATAAATATTCTTTTTAGGCATTTTCCTTTTCAATAGAAAGCTATTCTTTTCAGGTCTTTTCCTTCCAAAAAAATCTCTTCTTCAGGCAACTCAAAATCAACACTCATAAAATTCCTCCAATTATCCTCTAAAAATCCACAATTAATATTTTAAATTCGCTTTGGATTAACCTTATTGGTTAACTTGGTGGTGAGGGTCATATTTTACTTGTATCTGATCATTTTTTGGTTGCTCGTGCAAAAATGTTGGCTACAAGTGAATTGGAATGCCTAAAATAAAAATAAAATTACCCAAGCTTGAAAATGAACCAAGCGATTGTGTGTGTCGGCACACATAGTCCTGTGAATTGGCAATCAAGGAGGATAGAAATTAGACAGCTAAATTAGGAATTTTCTATAATTAGCAGCTTCCTTAATTATATTATTTCTAATATCATTACTATGATTTACTTTCTCTTTAGTTGAATATTTAGATTATGAATATGTATTATTAAGTTATCTAAAATATATTATACAGAATATTTTGTACCTAAAATAGATTACCTAAAATAGAACCTAAAATAGATTGTAAGAGTATTATTTAATGGAATGAAAGCAAAGGGAAAAGTCATTGAGCCTATTTTTCTCAAAACTTTGACATGGTATCAGAGCCAAAATTTTGCCCTAACCACCGGTAGTTATTGGAGGACCGTTAAGATTCCCTTCTCGCCGGCCTTCTTGCGGGAAGGAAGGAACTATTTCTTTGCCTTTATTCGCCCATCTAAGGGTTTTCGTCCGCTGCGACTGTTTCATCTTCCTTCGATTTGACTTCTTCCATCTCCCGCGTCTGGTTCCGTCTTCTGCATTTGATTTCAGCTGCGAATTACGATCCTGTTCATTTGTTATCTCGTCTGCAATTCAAGTCTCATCCACAATTTGCGATCTTGTTCACTTCATTCGCTTTGTCCGCCTCAGATGTCTTTTGCTAGCCATCGCTGCTTCTGCAGCATCTTCGACTGCTTCTTCCATTTTGGCTTCGTTCGCTTCGACTTTGCTTTCTTTGTTGCACCCAAGGATTGAAGACTTCGACACTCCTTTCTAGACCTACGACTTTGACATCTCAGCTTCAAAACTTTTGGCCTGAAGATCAGGGAATAAAATCGTCCTCATTGTTGCAGGAAGAATCAATATCATTTGGATCGTATAACTGGACGTGAATCCTACTTGTGGGCTATGATCAGTAGCATTTGGATCATGACGCGGATCCTACCGATAAGCACATGGATCCTAGTTGTAGGCTATGATCGATAACATCTGGATTGTGTAACTGGATCTTATTTGTGGGCTATGATTGGTAGCATTTGGATAAGCACATGGATCCTAGTTGTAGGCTATGATCGATAACATCTGGATCATGTAACTGGATCCTATTTGTGGGCTATGATCGGTAGCATTTAGATCATGACACGGATCCTACTTATATGTTACGATCGATAGCATCTGGATCGTGTAAGCATCTGGATCGTGTAACTGATGTAACTGAATCCTATTTGTGGGATATGATCGGTAGCATTTGGATCGTGTAATTGGAAGCGGTTCCTTCTTGTGACTGATTTGAATTTTTGGATGACAAAGATAAAGGATTTCTTGTTTTTTTTTTGCTCAAATCATGTTATGGTTTAGGATTTATCTCTTAGGCTTCGACATTCTCGGCTTCGACAGCTTCGGCTCCGACACTCACGGCTTGAGGATTTTTTGGTCCCGACTATATTATCAGTTTCTTGTTGGTAAGTTGATGCTTCCTGATCAGTTAACATCAATTTGAGGGGGGATGTCAATCAGAAAGGACAGAAATTAGACAGCTAAATTAGCTAAATTAGGAGAATTAAGAGCTTCCTTATTTAAATTATTTCCAATATGTTTATTATGATTTATTTCTCTTTTAATTGAATATTTCCAAACGACCCGAAAATGACCAAGCCTTAGGCTAGCTCTTGCATTCGCCCCCCAATTTGGGTTAAATTTCGAACCCGTTTAATATTCAGGTCAACCAATATTGAATCGGGTCAATTTTTTGTTAGGCGCGAACCTGACCCACGAACCTTAACACCCCAAATATTGATAGAATCTCACACCCACATTCATTTATAATATATATTCTTTCTCAGCTGAGCACTCGATTAAGTTCGTGCATGCTTACAATTAGCATTGCTTAGTCCAACAATTATAGTGATGCCGCATGGCCAATATATCACTTGATTTTTCAATGACCATCACATGAATGGATCACATTCTCTGTTGCCATCAAAATAAATCATATATGACCTACAAATCACATTACAACTCAACATTATCTTAAATCAGCACTCCAACTATATATACCCTTCCTTATTGGAAGGCGAACTCTTTTGAGTTTTATTAGCCTGTTGAAAATGAATACTCATAGCTTTAGAGGTAGAGAGCTACAAATGCTAATTATTCTTTCTTTTTATTGTCACTTGTAGATTCTTTGCCTCTTCCCATAGTGGACTTCTGCCAATAATTCAAATCAATTTAATCTATTGTCATATTACCCAATTCTATTGTCTTGTATGAGTATTTTAACCTTCTTACATGTTAGACTTGAACCTTCATATGAGAATAAAGCAACTAGGCTGCTCGCTAACATTTTGCATCTAGTGGTCCGTTTGCGGTTGCGGTACGACACTACATTGCAATTTGGTTGTTTGGGTAAACTGGGGTTTGACAACATTTTAAAAAAGCTGCTACTGAATTCAATATTTTCTTGTCGGTCTTGCCTAGGTACCATGACAGATTTCTAGTTGCTGTTTGAATTTTTTTTTTAAAATGTAATAATCACTACAATATAATTTTTTGAACACTTGATTGTTTTTAGTATCTTCATGGTTGTTTTTTAATAAACCGCAGCTGCCCCAAAAGACTTTAAAAGTACCATGAGGAACCCTTGCCCAACATCAACCATTATTTCTAAAAAAATCATATTTTGAAGCTTTGCAATGCGACATACATATAATTACATTTTTATTTTCATCATCCAATGGTAACAAACAAATATTAACTAATTTCTTACATGAATAACAATATTCATACTTTTAAAAATTAATATATTACATATTTTACGACCACAATCACTTGATGCATGGTATAAGTATGATTTAGAAGAACACATCACATTTTTTTTAATTAAAAAAAAGAAGATTTACAAACATACCCCTAAATTTTTATGTATTTAATTTTTATATACATGCCATTATGAAAAATGTATTTTAAAAATTAAAATAATAATATTTTTGATGGCACTGAATTTAGGAATTTAACTAATAATAAATAAAATAAACACTTTCGGGTTTTGACTCCGCTGCAGAATACCCCTCTTCCCTTCGATGCCCTAGCGAAAGAAGGTCCCCCGGCTTCCGATTTCGAACGCGGCACGAGCCACGCCGAGTTCGTCGACTCCTTCCCTCGTCGGAGCCGTCGCGCCGCTGATTTATGCGTTAAATTCTGTTCGGTGAGTTATATGTTTCTCTTTTCCTTTTATTTCGATTGGTAGCCTTTGGCTTGCACCTTAGTGTTGCGATTGATCGATGTTTCTGTTACCTGGTATTTCTCATTGTTACTTCCTTAGTTTACTTTCATTCTCCCATCCGGTATGTTTTTGGTATATTCTATTGTTCTTTGATCCTGTAATGCGGTGTTTTCTTAAAGCAATTTGATAATTGAGGCATGATATGTTTTCTGATTGTCTATTGATTTGCTATTTAGATGGATGGATGTATTCGTTGTAAACTTTGATTTGGGAGTTTAGGCCGGGTTGCTTATGTAAATGGGCTGCATTCCATCGAAGAAAGTCAGAGAGCAGTTTGCTAGGTACGAGGACCCCTTGCTTTTGGCCTCTCAGACTGCATGTAAGTTTCACCTATGGCGGTTTTTCCAGAATGATTTATCGACTTCCTTAACCTTTTTAATAACTTCATACTCAGCTTTGTTTGAAAATTTGTTGAGCAGTAGATTTTCTTCATTGTGGATGGATTCATCTTTTGCCTTGCCTTCTTTCGTTTTTGAAGAAATGTATGATTAACAACCGTATAGTGAGGAAAGTTCTTTTCTCTGAATGCTCACGTATATGCAATGTTTTATATGATAATGCTCATTCTCAAGTTGGAGCAAATGCACCATGAGCATTAACTAATTACAAAATTTTTAAAATTGAAGAAAACTTAAACCCTTAGGATCTGTTTGACATCACTTATTATTTTTAAAAACTTGGATAAGTCATGCTTAATGATTGTTTTATACGTGTTTCTATTTTTAAGAAATGATTAAGATGTTTTAAAAATACTCAAAACAACTTTTTTTGTTGTTTTTTATGTCTCAAAAAGAAAATTTTTCCCAAATTCTACTCTTGACACAACTTCTACCAGCCAAACCAGTTGCTTAGAAACGAGTTGCCCCTTACACTGCTTTGGAATGTTGTTGACTATCTGCAATTAATAATGGCTAGGATGGAGTTATCTTGCCCTCCTTATTTCCACTTCCTGTTTGTTAGATCATTCGACTTTTATTCCTTCTTGGTTATGAATGATGTTAGGTTGATGGCCACCAACTCCTTAAACCTCATAGATGACATCATCATTGATGTTGGAAGCTTTGCCAGTTCGGTACCTTGCTTGTGTGCACTTGGTGGTGTGATCAGTCACGCCCTTTGACTGTCGTTACTATCCTCAATAATGTTAGGCTTCATTTAGACACAGTCCGTGACATTCTAGAAAGAATCAAACCATACAAGTTTGTGGGAGAGTTATGCTTTCTTGAGAAAGCACTTTGTTACTTTCTGTTCGACGACATCTATGGGGATGTGATGATGATATGAGAAAGAATGAAGGCAAAGAATTCCATTAATGAATACATGGTTGCACAATCGAGTTTAAAAGAGAAACAACTTCAAAATTTCATTCCCAACTCTCAATCTTTTGTGTAGGGAGATAGGTAGATGGTTAACTGTAGGCGTTGAGCAAAGAATGCTTCAAAATAATTGTAGGGAAATTTTCATTGCATTTGTTTTTCTTTTGACAAAATGCTTGAATTTTTAGAACTCTTGCAAATGGAATGTGTTAGACTTACGCTTACGCCACCTTCCGCCTCGTGCTCCACTAAGTCGACCCTGAGCCAACTAAAATAGTTTGAAGACTTATGTTAGCAGTAAGACTAAAAGAGTGATTTAGTCGTTTGTTATTTGTTATTGTGACATATAAATATAGCTTAATATGTTTAGGGTTAGATGATGTATGATTGTTGTCTTGAATATTAGTGTTAGGTTTTGGGAGAGATTGCCTACCTATTTATTTATTCACCTTTGATCTTATCGACACCCTGCTGTTTGCTCTTGGAGGTTTCTGACTTGCTGTTCATATTTTCTACATTCTCCATGAAATTTTATATTCACCGGCGTGTTATTTTCAAAGCTTATGAAAGTAGTAGCGATTCATTTAGATGAAGAGCCACATTGTTATTTGTTTTAGCGTGGGCAAAGATTTATTGCCTTTGTTTTGCACATTGGACGTTGATAATACTGATTTCTCCCTATCCTTTGTCTTTCTCTACACATACACAGTATAAGTATGCAACTATCAATTTTTATTTTTAACATATGCTCATTTTTTTTCTCAATAATTTTGTCATGTAGGCACCTCTATTATTCAGCGTGCTTCTGCTGCTTGAGTTTGCCTAATTGGAAGTGCTTTTGTGAAAGGCAGAAACTATTATTTGTCAAAAGTGCAAACCGTGAATTGCGTAGTGGTGTGAATATGGGTTAAGTTGAGGTTGTTTGTCAAGACGCACATAGTTTTTGGATGAGAAGAACTGTTCGTTGCAGGCTTTATGGCTCAGCATTCATCTCTCCTTCACCGTCTACTGACTCTATTGGACAGTATCCTTTAATATTCTCGGAAGATTGTTTTTTCCTCGATCATATTGCAGTATTCAAATTTATCAAGATTTTTGGAATAATCTCTGGCATGCATTATCAAGATTTGGAATAATCTCTGGCATGCATTTTTTTTTTTTTCAGGTGGCTACCACTTTAATTTGTGTAGTTTCATGTTAGTTCTGAAAATTTCTTAACTGACTTTAGCCGGATCAACTCAAATAACTAGATTCACAGCTGCACGACAGATTGGAGAAATTGCAAAATCACATCCTCAGGACTTGGTCTCCCTTTTGAAAAAGGTAATTTGTTGACAGCTATGGAGTGTTTTTCACTTCTTTTCGTCTCGGTGCAGATTTTGTTCTGAATTTTATGCGTTATAATTCTACTTGTGAATCTTAAGCCGCTGCGTGTGAGATTGTATGTTTATCTACTTCCAATATGTCTCACTTTAGCACTTATCATCTCCTGTTAGCTTGAGAATATTTCTATTGATGTTGAAGTATGTTCATAGCGCTCTAACAGATAATCAGATGGATACTACGATGCTTTTATTACTAGAATTATGATACATAAAATAGGCAGCATGTTATCAGAATTTTCTCTCCGGTTTACTTTCGTTGGTTATTTAAATCAATATTTCTCTTTTTTATTGTAGATATTACAGTACCTTCGAAGCAGGAACTGGGATACAAGAGTTGCTGCTGCCCATGCTGTAGGCGCAATAGCAGAAAATGTCAAACACACATCGATGAAGGAACTATTGGCATCTATTGAATCAGAGATGTTTGAAGCTGGGCTTCGCGATGCTTCTAAAGATATAGGGTTGCTTTTGTCAAATTTTCATCCCAAGAATCTATCAGGCCTCTCTTTCGTTAGGTCTAAAGTTTTTTTACTTGTGATTTCATTGTCAAAATGTATACCACTTGAATAAGCTGGTTCAGTTAGATATTTTGTTTGAGGTTCTTTTTTGTGTTTTAGCATTATGAAGTCATAATTTGTAGGATGGTTTGAATACTCGGCTTGTTTTGGATTCTTGCAGCTTTGACATCAACAAAGTACTGGAGTTTGGCTCGCTGTTGTTGGCATCGGCGGGACAGGTGATGCTTCCACTTCTTCCAAGGTTAAAATATTTCCTTGCTTATCTTTTGGATGAGGGAAATGCTATATCCAGTTTATGTTTAATTTTGAGTTTACTTTTGTTCTCCGTAGCTTTTTTGGGTGCCTCTTCAAATTCTGGTTTGAGTAGGACATTTTGTTTGGTCTTCTGTTAAATACCATAAAGATAAATGATACGAATCATGAAATTTTAGAATAAAAAGAAAAAACAAATAAGGATACTTTACAGTTCATTTTTTTCATTATCATACATGAATTAGTAAATCTGATGATGTGTCTACGTTTGTGATTTCTTATCTTTTTGTAACCACTGATGATTAGCTTCAATTTGCAACTTAATGTCTAAGTTACACAAGTCTTGGGGGTTTCTTAAGTTCTTAGTTTTCATGCTAGATTGTAATTTTTTGCTTAATTTGTTGAACGATGCTGTTTTCTTGTGTCTAGGCTTGCAGATATGTTGGATTTGGCCAAAAAATCATTCCGCTCAATTAGGAATTAATGAAACAAAACTCCAATTATCAACCTCTATTGGTTTAAGATTACCAGTTCAGATTGCAGGTTGACCTACAATTGATCAATTTTGTAACCCAGTCTGAGTAATCTGTTCATTCTCATATATTTGTATGTAACTTGATGCATTGATACTTATGTACATATGCTTAGCCTGAAATTTTTATTTATACGTACATATGTTCATCTCTCATTTCTTGTGTTGTCTGTCTCTCTATTTGTCGATATTGCTGCCTTTCTACCTCACCATGTCTGCTTTAGTGTCGTGTCTGTCTCACTCATCAGCTGTCGCGTCCGTCTTCCTGTTGCCTTGTTTGCTGCATCAGTCTTCCTTGCCATTGCTTCGATCATCTCATCAACACTGACTTATCTATCCCCTTGTTTCTCTTAGTTGCATTAGTTTTTTTCACCAAGTTAAATATTATTTAAGGAAGGCATATTTTTGCCTTGTGACTTGTTGACTTTATAGTTGTTTTCAGCTTCAACCAAATCGTGTTTTGCTGGCTTTTGCTTTGAATTTTTTTGTGCTGCAGCACAACTGATTTGGAGGGTTCTGGATTCGGCTCACTCTAATGTCATCATTAATCTACTCTAACTTGTCAGGCCTTTAACTTAAAACTTAAGCCAATGGTTGTCACATATCTGAAAGGGGCCAGTGAAATTGTAGACCTCATCTCATTTCAGGCCTGCTCGCACATGTTCAAGGCTTGAATTAGGATTTTATTAATTTCAGGATCACTATATATCCCTTGGTTGATAATCCCTCTATTTTTCATCTTCTTTTAGCACTTCTGAGTTCATTGAAATGCAAGCTTTAATAAGAAACTTCATGCTTCTTGCTGTGATATATAGGACTGATCTGTCTTTTGTGTTAAGAGGCAGTGCGATATTTCTGTTCACAATTTTGTGACTTTATTAGCCAATTTATGAAGGTTTTTTCATGTTATCAGGTAGTTCCCACCTTCCTCTCTCAAACCTAAAAATCTGCTGCCTCGTGGTTTCTGTACACCCATTCTACTGGGCTTTAGATGTGACGTTGTCAGTCTCAGCCCTTTAATGTCGTTGCACCTAGAAAATTTCATCCTTCTTATATGAAAACATATGTAGATATTTGCTGCATTATTATTTTTTCTGGATCAACTGTGTACTTCACCACGAGGTTGCATTTATTCTAGAGCTTGTATTTGTACTCATCTTGATTTTATAACTGAGCAATTTGTATAACTTTTCCTTCATTTCATTTCATGATATTCAATGTTTAAATTTAGGTTTTTTTGTGTTTTTGAAAATTGTCGTAGGAATATGATGTCACAAATGATAGCAGCAAGACTCCGGCAGAGAGGTTGGCTCGTCAAAAACAAAGTCTTCGCCGTCGTCTTGGTTAGCCTATATGATTCCTTCACATGTTTTGTATGACGAGAGTACCATCTTCTTTTGTTTAACATTATTTCTGTGATAGTTTTCTATAATTCAACATTTGACGATGTTTTTGTTTGTCAGTTGCGTTATGAAATCCGTTTAAGGAAGTGTTTATATTGCATACTATGAATGATAAAATTTTATGCTATGTTTATTTCTTAAGCAGCAATTTATTCTTATGATTTAATGATATAAAACATTCTTTTTTAAGTTTTCTATGTTAAAGGCCTTAACATTTATGTCGAGGGTTCAAATATTTGACTTTCTAGTGTTATTATATTTTTTGGTGGCAGCCTGTGAACTACATTGCGTGAGATGTGTATATATAATCCGGAAGTGAGATGCGATATATTTTCTTTGAATTGTTCTATGATTTGGTGTAATAAAATGTAAGATGCCTACATCTCTCTGTGTATATATATATATATATATATATATATATGAACACACTCACACACACTCACACACACACACACTCACACACACACACACACACACACACACGGAAGTAGCGTGCTTAGCACTTCATATGGGTGCCACATGGTATACTTTTGAATTTGAATATGTATATGATGTTCGATATTTAAGCAATGCAGTGCGTATTACCTAGTTAATCTAGTAAATTTCAAGCTTTCATCACTTCATATGGGTGCCACATGGTATACTTTTGAATTTGAATGTATATATGATGTTCGATATTAAAGCAATGCAGTGGGTATTACCTATTTGATCTAGTAAATTTAAAGCTTTCATGCTTGAATATAGGCCTTCACCGCAACAATATTGTGTTGGTCCTATAAGAAGTGAGAATTTAGGCAAGTTTTTCTGACTTAGATGCTCATCTTAATTACATTATGTAGAGTAGTTGCTATTATAAATAGTAAGAATGTTACAAATGAGATGAGTGCCATAAATTGGTGGATCATAAATGCAAACTGTCTGATTATTAAAGAATGCTTTTTAAACGTACCAAATGAGAACTTATTTGGTTGAAATAATTATTATTTGGGGCATCATGATTGACCAAATTTATTGAGACATTATGGCAGCTAAAGGAATTCAAAGTTATTTTAGAAAAGTGATGCCAAGAACCAAAGTTTATCGAGGCGTATGATAATTATAAAAAAATTAAGGGAATTGCAACAGGGCAGTATGTGAAACCAACGCTGCAACATTTGATGATTAGTATATGCTGGGTTTCAAGGGAGAAAACTAGATTTGTAAAATAGCTATGGGAAGATGAAGGATCAATAGTGGATTAAGTTATAACTAAAAAAAGATGATAGGTTTTCCTTAAAGGTGACATTTTTAATATAAATAAGAACATTGTTTATATGAATTTGAAGTGTGAGTTTTAGAAGAAAGGGCTAAATGGAAGTAATGTATTATGGATTAGATTATTTAATAACATGAAAAAAAGGCTAACGTTGAGGTGGATGCATGCTTGCTATTTTGGCCTAGATGGGATACTAGCTGAGATCTTGAAGTGTTATTAAAAGTAGTGAATTTGGTAATGATTTTTTTATAAAATCATTTTTAAACAAATGATGCCAATGATAGGAAGAGAAGCATTTCTTTGCCAATTATAACTATAAAGTGGGTATGTAAGTTCTTAATTATTTGAAGAAATTAGGCAAATGAGTCATACATTGAGAGAATATAGAATAAGGATTGAAAAAGTCACTTTTCTAGTCATAGAATGATATAATCAAATTGGTTTAGTGTAAAAGTGTTTTGAAGGTGATTTATATTAAGGCATTTTCATGATCATCATTAGCAATGTCGTAGCTATTAGGTGCTGGTTATGTGAATCCTCACTTCATTGTTCATTTTTGTTGAGTGCTAATTATGAGAAATTTAATCAGTGCAAAGTTTTTCTCCCAACTTCTGATCATACTACCTTAAACTACCCCTTTATCCTTCCAAATCAACACATCTTATCATCTCACCTTTTCACTTTATATGCATAAATTATATGTTTGTTTCATATTATTTTATTTTTAATAGGTGCCATTCTTTCAAGCACTTTGATTTTATTGTCACTTACTCTATTTTTTTTAATTCTAACACACATCCATAATATTCTTCTTTATATGACGATAAATTTGTTTATTAATGGCTTCTATATTAGCCAATACTTGTATCCATGTGGAAAAATTGATCTAATTGCAAATTTGTATGTTTAATTTCTTTGATATTCTCACACATTGCACTCTTGATACACTTTCTTATTTTAATCTGTTAATTTTAACTCTAGAAGTAATTTTTTGGTCATGGCATAATCAAATGTGTAGCATACAATAGTAAGATATTCTTTTTGATTTGTCAAATATAAAATGATAAAACTTTGAGTGTCACTGCATATAATCTGTGGGATTGAGTAAAAATGCTATTTCTAAAGTATATATTGAAATTATGAAATATATGCAATTGGTTTAACAACAAATATTGATTTTTTTTGGTTTGACAAAAGAGCTTGTAAGAAAGAAGGGTTACATTAAGAATCAATTTTACTTTCATAATTTATGAAGGATTTTAGTATAATTGTTAAAAGTGATATTGATTGATATACACTTTTAGTAAGTGATACGATTTTGGTATATATTAAAAATTAAAAGCATTGAGGAAGGTTTAAAAAGGTGAAATTGGGAATTTAGGCGTTTTGCCTTAGTGATGAGAGGCATAAGCCTCAAAGCGGATTGAGACACACACCTCCGTTTGGCCAACTACAACTGTCATCAAACCACCGCAGTGCCTTAGCTAGTTTATTAAGCTTATTTGAAGTGAGTGAAATGCATTATAGCCAAACCATGCATTTTGGACTGAATCCCAATGGCTTCAGAGCTTTCCCAGTATCCCCTCCCTTCTTGCCACCCACAACCACTAGCATTCGTTAAAGGCACATTGGAGCTTGGTATTCACATTGATCTAATCCACACTAGCTCACTCCAAAGCTTATTGCAACTTCTCAAAGTTCTAGCAATGGTTTATGATCAATATTAATTCCTTAATACTACTGGATTAGAAATGCCATTCAACCCTTAGATTTTCTCTATTGTGGTACAACCATGCACATTCTTTCTATCCCTAGATATGTTTTGATATTTTGAGCAAATTATTTTGAAAACGAGCAATTTCATCTACTAGAGAGAGATGCATAGCTATTGTATCCTGACTTAATTTCACGACGGGCAATGGGAAAGATGGCTTGGGGTCTCTTGATCTATGATCAACTGTATTGGAACAATTGTTTGCTTATTTTATATTTATAACCTACCTTAATTTCACTAATCTCTTTAGATTCTAAGAATGTGTAAATGCTTCTATGGATAAAAAATATGCTAGAAGATATGACAATTGAACGGAAGGAAACATAAGAGTGGACAATCATTTTTTTTAATAATTAATCTTCAAATCTTTTAGTAAAATTTTTAACCCTAAAAGTTGAGAAAATCTTTGAGCAACCGCTCTAAGCTCTAATATGCACTTGAAGTTGAGACTTTTAGTTATTGTTTATTTCTCCATGGTTCAAAAGTTTGTCCTACTAATGTTCAATAGTTTATAGTTGATCTTTTATCTACCGATGATCACATATAGTCAACATCTTTGCTTAAAAAGGCATTCAAGGCACATGCCTAGAGGTGCATCTCAAACCGAGGCACACAAAGATGCCTAGAGGTTTAATCTTCATTATCATTAGTGAGGCTTTTGTTTGTTTAATTTGAGGTGTCTTGAATGCTTGGAGATGTTTGAGATGGCGCCTCAATGAAGTTATGTAAAAAAATATTAGTTTATATTTGAAAAAGTCAAAATGTAATTTAAGTATGATTGTTTGATTATATTTTTAATTTGTTATTTTGTTTTAAATTATATTTGATCTAATGTTAATTAATGTAGATCTTAATATATGTAGTATATTTAAAATTTAAGTAAATGCCTACCCTGAATAACATTTCAAACTTTTATTTTATGTCAACCTTTAAAATTGAGATTTACGGTTCATGTTTTTATGATAATAATTTAAATCTTATTTGTGAATTAACTTTAATTTTATAATTTTTTTTTCTATTGTGAGGCTTATGCTTTGATTTGCCTCATGACTTGTTCCTTACTTTATAGAGGCAAAACAAATTAATTCCTGTTTTTTTTTTTTAAATTTTGTAAAACATCATTATCCTTGTTTAAAAAAATGTTCAGGAGAACATCTCGAGGCACTTCTCTAATAGGCACTCAAAAATTATCTTGAGTTTTAAGTTTCATTGTCGCTATTGAGATTCACTCTTTTTTGATATGAGGCGCATGCCTCGACTCTTGAGGTGCTTGAGGTGACGTCTTAATTAGGTTAAGTAGAAATTATATATTATATTATAGGGGCATTTACATACATAGCACACAATTTTTATGTATTTACTTATCTCACACTTAAACTTTCTCATTTACACACAACACTAGCTTTTTAATATAACATCAAAAATAGCATTCTCACTTTTTAAAATTGAGTTACTTATTTTTGTGTATAGTTTAAAATACCAAAGTGTTATGTATGTAAATATGAAAATTTAGCTGTGAGATATATAAATACATAAGAATTCTATGCTATGTTTGTAAATTTTCCTATTTATATTAGAGGGATTTAATTACATAGCACATAGTTCTTTTGTTTATATATATATATATATATATTGTATAAGTATATATCAAAATTTAGGTGTTTGATATATAAATACCGAGGACTTGTATGTTATGTATGTAATTCTTGATTATGTGATTAATATATTTTATTTTATTTTATTTTATTATTATTTCTAATATATCCGATGCATTACCCAAAATGGTAGTGTATGTAGGATTTTTTGATTGTGTAATTAATTTGTCATTTTATTTTATATTATATTTGATCTAATGTTAATTAATATAAGGTGTAAGAATAAATATATAGTGATTAAAGAAGGATGTTTTAG